TACTAGCATTAAATGGAACTAGATCCCAAGTATGATTGTCAATTAAAGCATTAAACTCTTCTGCCATAGCCGCCCTCCATTTAACATCTTTATTTGCCATAGAAAAACAAGAAGGATCACATGCCGAAACATCTGTTTTGAGAGTAAAAATATGTTTGGGTTTAAAAATTCCCGATTTAGCACGAGTTTGCATAGGATGACAATTTGGCAGAGAAGGTGCAGGGGAAGAACGGGTTGGGCTTGGGCTAGGCTCATGCGGACTGGTCGGATGAGTGGAGGGGGATGATGTGGGAGAGGAATTTGGTGCGTTGGTTAGAAAAGGGCTGTCGATGGCCGTAGGGGTGATGGGAGTGTGTGGTGAGGTGCGGTTGGGAGCAGTCGGCTGAAACAAGGTAGGCTGAGTGCATAGGTTGGACTGCCGCAAGGTTACAGGGGAGGATGAGATGCTGGTGGCTGGTGGGTTGGGAGCACAGTGCTCATGCATGGTGATGGTATTAATGTCGGACACGTCAGTGGTGGCTGTGGAAGAAGTTAAAGTAGAATATGGAAAATAATTTTCAAAAAATCGCACATTCCGATTAATGTAAATCTTGTTAGTGAGAGGATTGAGACAACGATAACCTTTATATTCAGGGGCATATCCTAAGAAGACACATAAGGTGGATCTGGGAGAAAGTTTTATTGATTTACCTTTTCGGGGCACTTCTTTTACTTGGTCCGGTGTCCGTATGCAAGGGAGGCTATGGCGTAGACTGGATAGGGTCTTATTCAACTCTTCTTTCTTGGATCTGTATGACAACATTATGATCAGTCATCTAAATAAAACATCATCAGATCATAACCCCATCTTGCTTCAGTGTAAAAATTTGTTGGTGGAGGGGCCAAAGGCCTTTAAATTTCAGAATATGTGGGTTTCTCACCCAAAGTTTTTTGAAAAGGTTAAAAGTTGCTGGAATTCCTGTCATACTGGTGGTGGTATGAGGGGTCTATATGACAAGCTACAGAATCTCAAAAAGGAATTGAAAAGCTGGAACAAAAACACATTTGGCAACATTTTCAATGAAATCAAAAATCTGGAAATGGAGGTTTCTGAAGCTGAAAAATTGTTTGAACAAGATCATACTGAGGCTAACAGAGAAAGTTGGTCTTTCAAACAATCACTTCTTATGCTTAAATATAAACAGGAAAGAATCTTTTGGAAGCAGAGAGCACATATTAAATGGCTGCAGGAAGGTGACAGTAATACAAAGTTCTACCATTCCTTTGTTAAAGTAAGAAGAAGAATGCAACACTTAACTTCTATTAAGGATTCTGATGGTAATCTTATTACTGATTCTGAAGACATAGGGAGAGCTGCTGAACACTATTTCCACAATATCTTTGCTGAAAAGCCAGTGCATGATACCCAGGAAATCCTGCAATACATTCCAAAGCAAATTGATGATCAAGATAACATGATGCTTATGGGGCTTCCTACTTTAGAAGAGGTTAAAAAAGCTATATGGGATTTGAACAAACATGGAGCAGCAGGGCCTGATGGATTTAATGGTTTTTTCTTTAGAAAATGCTGGGATATTATATGTTGGGATGTGGTCAAAGCTGTCCAAGATTTTTTCCAAGGAAATCACATTCCTAAAGCCATGTCCAGCACATTAATAGTTCTTATCCCTAAAAAGGATAAAATATCTACCTTTGCAGATTATAGAGCCATCACTTTATCCAACTTTATCAGTAAGGTTTGTACAAAAATTCTGGCTTCCAGACTTAGTACCATTCTTCCTAAACTGATTTCTATAGAGCAAGCAGGTTTTATGAATGGAAGAGACATCTCTGATCATATTTTAGTGGCTCAAGAAATGATTAATTCCATTGATAAAAAGGTGAGGGGTTCTAATGTTGTAGTGAAACTTGATATGGCAAAGGCATTTGATAAGTTATCATGGACTTTCTTACAAGAGGTTCTTTTAAAATTTGGGTTTTCTGATGCTTTCACTAACCTGATTTTGAATCATTTTAAGTCCACCTATTTTTCTGTGCTTATCAATGGAACTCCTAAAGGTTTTTTCAAGCCTGCTAGAGGGGTCAAGCAAGGAGATCCTCTCTCTCCCTTCCTATTCATTCTAGCATCAGAAGCATTCTCAAGGGGTCTGAACTACTTCATGTCATCACATAGTATTAAACCCTTCTGGATTGGTCAATTTGGACAGCCTACATCTCATCTTTGTTTTGCTGATGATATATTGATTTTTATCAATGGGGAAACTAGATCTTTATTGAACTTTAAAAAGTTTTTAAATCTGTACCAAAGGGCTTCAGGACAGACAGTCAACTTCTCTAAAAGCAATTTTTGTTGTGGAAATACTTATCTTGCTAGTGTGAGAAGAATGGAGAGAATCCTAGGCATGACCAAGGTGAACTTGCCTATGAAATATCTGGGATCAGCCCTGCATAAAGGTATTAACAGAATCAGTTACTGTAAAGATATTATACATTCTTTTGATAAAAGATTGACTGCTTGGAAACAAAAGAATCTTAGTCAATGGGGAAGAGTTGTTCTTATCAAACATGTTTTAAACACTATTCCTCTTCATATTCTAGCAGTTGATACACTTCCTAAATCTGTCATTAAGATACTGGAGAGGAAAATGGCACATTTCTTTTGGGGCTCCAGCAATCAAAGAAGTAAATATCACTGGTTAAAATGGAAGGATGTCTGCTTGCCTACTAAGGAAGGAGGTCTAGGCATCAGATTATTGACTGATATTGAAAAATCTTATTCTTTAAAGTTGTGGTGGAAATGGAAATGTAATAGATCCTCATGGGCTTCTTTTTGTCACTACAGATACCCTAGAGGATCTAATATGACTCCTAAAAGTACTGATTCTGTTATTTGGAAAAGGATTTGCTCTATACACCAAACTGGAATCTCATTAATCTCAGATGATAACAATGGGGAACTGATTTGGTTACCTGAGAATAATGGTCACTTCACTCTTGCATCTGCCTTCCAAAAGATTAGATGGAGCAAATCTGAGACCTTCTCTTTCAGACATTCCTGGCATAAAAAGCAATGTAACAAGATTCAGCTATTCCTTTGGAAAACTTTGCATAGAATTCTGCCATTTCCAGATAATCTTTTAAGATTTCAAATAGCCATTTTCCCCACCATATGCCCATTGTGCAGAAAGGACTATGATCTTATGGACCATGTGCTTTTCAACTGTTCATATGCCAAAGAGATTTGGCACTACTTCATGGGAATTTTAGAAATTCCATATCACAGAGGTTATCTATCTATCCGTCAGGCTCTAATATCTTGGTGGCTGGAAGCCGGTTCAAAAAGCCTCTTAGACATTTTCAAAAATATTATGCCTGGGATTATTACTTGGCATATTTGGAAACTTTATACAAATCTCAAGTGGGGGAATCAGTCAGCCCTACCTTCTACTCAATTTGTTATTTGTCAAATTAAAAACTTTTCTCAGAATTGGTCCTTTGCAAAATTAGGTAAGAGCAAGCTTGGTATCGCTAATGCTATATTGGTGGAGGAAAAAATCTTATCTAAATCTTTCATTTGTAGAAAGCCTCAGATTCAATTGGTTAGGTGGAAATTACCTGATATGAACTTCAAATTGAACGTTGATGCATCTTATTCCTCAGAGGGTTCGGCGGCAGGTGCTGTTATGAGAACGAGATCAGGAGATTTTATCTTTGCTCTTCATTTTCCTTTGACGGCAAGGTCGGCTTGGGAAGCTGAGTTCGGAGCTATATACGAAGCAGTTGCATGGACTATTCTACAAGGTTACCGGAACTTTGAGGTTGAATCTGACTCCTCTTCCGTTATTGCTGAGATTGGCGATGGAACTCTGCCTGGAGGTTGGAGAAACAAGAAGACGGATCTGAGAAGGTGGATGGTCAGCAACGATGTCCGTTTCGGACATATCCTTAGGGAAGCAAACGACCCAACACATTTAATTTCCAGATATAATTTTGATGGTATCTCTGTTATTAATAATTTCAACACTCTTCCTAATTATATTAAAAGATCTTTGATAGCTGATAAATTAGGTCTTTCAATTGTTAGATTTAATTAATTTTTTCATATGTAATTTTGGAGAGGTTTCGGTTTGGTCCCCCTCTTCTTTGTATCATCTAATTTTTCAATAAAACTCCGGTAAATGACCCCCGACATTTACCCCACTGATTTTGGTGGTTTGCCTTCCGGGATAAAAAAAAAAATCTGGGAGAAAGTTTGTTGGCAAAAGTGGCATTAAAATTAGGAAAGCACGCACACCCAAAAACACGCATAAAAGAGAAGTCAGGAGTATGGTGAAATAATTTTTCAAAAGGAGAAATGCCATTTAAATTTGGAGTAGGAAGCCTGTTAATAATAAATGTGGCGGTGAACACAGCATCTACCCAAAACGTAGATGGCATGTTTGCTTCAAAAAGCATAGTGCGAGTTAATTCAAGGAGATGTCTGTGTTTGCGCTCAGCAACACCATTCTGCTCAGGGGTATCTGGACATGACTTGCGAAATAAAATACCATTTTGTGTAAAAATTTCACGCATGCCATGATTATCAAATTCACCCCCTCCATCACTTTGAAAAATTTTAATTTTTGAGTCAAGTAAATTTTCCACCATTAACTTAAAGTGCCGAAAATGTGTTATGACTTCACTTTTATGACGCACGGGATAGAGCCAAGTATATCGTGAAAAATCATGAATAAATAAGACATAATATTTATAGACACTTGTAGAGAGAACAGGAGATTGCCAAACATCAGAATGAATTAAAAATAAAGGAGCAGGAGATTTATGCCACACTTCTTGAAAAGGTAATCGTTGAGGCTTTCCTAACCGACAAGAAATACAATCATGAGAAAAACTAGAAATACTAGAAATAGTGCCAGATTTTTTTAATTGTTCTAAAATACGACTTCCACAGTGTCCCAAGCGACGATGCCAGACTGGACCAGAAGCAACATGAGAGACTAGAGCCACTGGCGAGGAATGAATGAGAGAAATAGGGTAAACGCCACCATTACTGGAAGCTTGGAGGAGCACCTTCCCCGAAATTGTGTCCTTAATACAGATAGAATTTTTATCAAAAATCACAAAACAGTTATTATCGGCACATAATCGTTGAATAGACAGAAGATTGTATTTAAGATTAGGCACATGATAAACAGATTTTAAGTGTAGGGGCCGAGGCAGAGTAGATAAATGCAATTCACCAACAGTCATAACAGGAAGACTAGAGCCATTAGCAACTGTAATTTTTAGTGGTCCAGAATAAATAGATTTATTTTGCAAAATACCTTCATTTGAGGTCATGTGAGCAGAAGCACCCGAGTCAGGATACCAGACAGCTGGAGTGGATTCACCTGTAGAGACAGCCAAGGCAGGGGCCTGAGCCTGAACAAAACGAGAGGGACATGCAACAGCTGAATGACCTGGAGAATGACATATCTGACACACAACAGGTGGAGGGACTGAACCAAAAGTATTCTCAAAAGATGGAGATCCTGCAGAGGCATAGTTAGTAGAAGAAGTATAGAGAGCCGGAGTATAAAACGATGACTGAACTGAATTACAAATAACTGTACCCGGTCCCCACTGATGAAGCTGATTGGTTCCCCGACCGGACTGTGGCTGCTGGAGTTGCGGCTGGCCTGGATTGCCGTACGCAGGAGGTTGTCCATACGTATAGGCCTGCTGATTTCGACCTCTGCCGCGCCCTCGTCCGCGACCGCCACGGCGTCCGCCACGCCCTCCGCGTCCTTGGTTCTGCTGCGGGTTGCCAGAAGAAGAAGAGGAAGCCGCACCTCCTCCTGCGGAATTGGACGCAGCAAACGCAGGTGCAGTAACTGAATTCTCCAAGGATCGTTGATAGCGAAGACGTGCATCTTGATGAACCAGCTTTGTGCTTAAGGAGTCAAACGTGAGGCCTTGTGGAAATAAGGTAAGGGGGCCCACTAGTGACTCATAACCCGGTCCCAATCCTATAAGAGTTTGTTCAATAAGATCGGCATTAGAGACCAGAGAGTTAATTGCGGCTAAATTCTCAGCAATATTTTGAATCCCACGAATGTAGTCCTCCATGGTCTGATTGTCCTTCTTCCGAGTGCGTGTAAGCATTTGTTTTAATTCCATGGAGCGTGCAAGACTGGCTGCCATAAATCGGGACTCCAAACGTTGCCAGATGGCCAAGGAATTTTTCAAGGAATGTACCTCCATCAAGATATCACGAGAGAGAGTTGCAAAGATCCATGCACGTACCGCTTGATCTAACTTGAGTATATATCTTGATTCATTAGTGGGATTTTTGATAACCTTTATCCCCTGAACTGATCCATTAACTGATGTGAGAATAATGGAATGGCTTACCCAATTGGGAGCCCTAGATGTCAAATATATAATGAATAGAGTTCTGAGTACATTAGGAAACATAAGAAATATGGAAACCTAATTAATGAATATTAATTACTCTATTACACCCCCTCAAGCTGTGCAGGGGACACAATGCGCAGATTGTCTCTGAGAAAAATGAAGCGTTGCGGAGATAAACTTTTGGTAAAAATGTCTGCAAGCTGGAACTGTGTGGGAACATAGCGAACAACCAGGTCTCCATGTGAAACTCTCTCACGAACAAAGTGATAATCAATGCTGATGTGTTTGCTCCGAGCATGCTGAATAGGATTTGTGGATAAATAAGAGGCTGAAATATTATCACACAATAACCGAACAGGCTGGCAAACAGGTACGCCTAATTCAAACAATATAGACCGGATGTGGAGAATGTCTTGAACTGTGTAAGCAATAGCCCTGTATTCTGCTTCTGTGGAAGAACGAGAGACTGTTGGTTGCTTCTTGGATTTCCATGAAATTAAATTAGGGCCTAGAAAAATAGCAAAGCCTGAAGTGGATCTACTACTGTCAGGACAACCAGCCCAGTCTGCATCTGAATACGCTTGTAAAATAGGAGAAGAAGTGCTCGGCTGCAGGAGCAAACCATGGTCCGAAGTTCCCTGAAGATACCTGAAAATACGCTTAACAGCCAAAATATGTGAAGTACGAGGTGTCTGCATAAACTGAGAAACCAGGTGAACAACAAATGTAATATCTGGTCTAGTCATGGTCAAATACTGCAAAGCACCTACCATACTTCGATACTCCGTAGGATCTGCGAGAAGATCACCATCAGTGAGAGATAACTTAGTTCGAGTAGGTAGCGGAGTACGAACAGGTTTAAGGGTGTGAAGATGAAACCGGGTTAATAGATCAGACACATATTTTTGTTGAGACAGGAACAAACCTGAGGAGGTTCGAACAACTTGGACACCTAGGAAAAAATGTAAATCCCCCAAATCCTTCATGGCAAAACAACGACCAAGACAAGAGATAAATGTGGAAATAAAGGAAGGGGAATTACCAGTTATAATAATGTCATCCACATACAAGAGGAGATAGAGAATATGAGACCCATGGCGATAAATGAATAAAGAATTATCTGACTTGCTACAAACAAAACCATGGGTTAACAAAAAACTGCTAAACCTGTAAAACCAGGCTCTTGGAGCCTGCTTAAGTCCATAGATTGCCTTCCGGAGCCTACAAATATGATTAGGAAATTGTGGATGTACAAACCCAGGAGGCTGGCGCATATAAACCTCTTCAGTTAGATTGCCATGAAGAAATGCATTTTTGACATCTAACTGACGAATATTCCATCGGCAAGAGATAGCAAGAGATAAAACAATACGAACAGTGGTGGGTTTGACAACAGGACTAAAGGTTTCAGAAAAATCCACACCAGCTTGTTGAGTAAATCCTTGTGAAACCAAGCGTGCTTTATAACGCTCAACAGACCCATCAGACTTAAATTTTGTTTTATAAATCCATTTAGACCCGATCAAATTTTTACTAGCATTAAATGGAACCAGATCCCAAGTATGATTGTCAATTAAAGCATTAAACTCTTCTGCCATAGCCGCCCTCCATTTAGCATCTTTATTTGCCATAGAAAAACAAGAAGGATCACATGCCGAAACATCTGTTTTGAGAGTAAAAATATGTTTGGGTTTAAAAATTCCCGATTTAGCACGAGTTTGCATAGGATGACAATTTGGCAGAGAAGGTGCAGGGGAAGAACGGGTTGGGCTTGGGCTAGGCTCATGCGGACTGGTCGGATGAGTGGAGGGGGATGACGTGGGAGAGGAATTTGGTGCGTTGGTTAGAACAGGGTTGTCGATGGCCGTAGGGGTGATGGGAGTGTGTGGTGAGGTGCGGTTGGGAGCAGCCGGCTGAAACAAGGTAGGCTGAGTGCATAGGTTGGACTGCCGCAAGGTTACAGGGGAGGATGAGATGCTGGTGGCTGGTGGGTTGGGAGCACAGTGCTCATGCATGGTGACGGTATTAATGTCGGACACGTCATTGGTGGCTGTGGAAGAAGTTAAAGTAGAATATGGAAAATAATTTTCAAAAAATCGCACATTCCGATTAATGTAAATCTTGTTAGTGAGAGGATTGAGACAACGATAACCTTTATATTTAGGGGATAAAGGTTATCGTTGATAGCGAAGACGTGCATCTTGATGAACCAGCTTTGTGCTTAAGGAGTCAAACGTGAGGCCTTCTGGAAATAAGGTAAGGGGGCCCACTAGTGACTCATAACCCGGTCCCAATCCTATAAGAGTTTGTTCAATAAGATCGGCATTAGAGACCGGAGAGTTAATTGCGGCTAAATTCTCAGCAATATTTTGAATCCCACGAATGTAGTCCTCCATGGTCTGATTGTCCTTCTTCCGAGTGCGTGTAAGCATTTGTTTTAATTCCATGGAGCGTGCAAGACTGGCTGCCATAAATCGGGACTCCAAACGTTGCCAGATGGCCAAGGAATTTTTCAAGGAATGTACCTCCATCAAGATATCACGAGAGAGAGAGTTGCAAAGATCCATGCACGTACCGCTTGATCTAACTTGAGCCAATGATAATACTCAGGATTCGGGGACTGAGCCTGATATAAATCATATGTATACATTGGCGGGGCAGATAGAGATCCATCAAGGAAGCCTAAAAGACCATTAGCTACCACGAAGGATTCAAACTGAGTGCGCCATGGCAAATAATCTTCAACAACCACCAATTTAGAAGTAACAATTTGTGTAATCGAGGCCCCAAACGTCATGCCTTGAGCGAGCGAGGCAAAAGACGAGGGCATAGGAGTGGACTGTTGCCCAAGAATTCCGGCCGAAGGCAGGTGCAACCGCGGACTGCCCGCCAGGGTGGGTCCTGCGAGCCGAGGGCCGCCAGAGCTGCTGTAGACGTCCGGTTGCTGCGAGCGTTGTGGCTGGATTATCGGATTGAAGGTTGGCGCTGACGGAGTCCAGGTGAAAACGGGGGGGACCCACGGCGCTGCAGGAACCGTAGAGGGAAAGACCGAGTAGGGCTGCGAGCGAAGCGGTTCACCTGTGGAGGAGAGAGCCGCCGTCTGCGAATGGCCAGAGAAATTCGATGTGTCTGTCGCGCTCAACACAGGTGCAGTTATGGCCGGCGGCGAATCAATGGCAGCGGTGACTGCCTGGGATGCGGCGGCTGCGGTGGAGCCTTCAGATGCCATGGAACCGAAAAGAAAAAAAAATTAATTTTGGCTAAAACCTAGAGCTCTTGATACCACAGAAGCAGAATACAGGGCTATTGCTTACACAGTTCAAGACATTCTCCACATCCGGTCTATATTGTTTGAATTAGGCGTACCTATTTGCCAGCCTGTTCGGTTATTGTGTGATAATATTTCAGCCTCTTATTTATCCACAAATCCTATTCAGCATGCTCGGAGCAAACACATCAACATTGATTATCACTTTGTTCGTGAGAGAGTTTCACATGGAGACCTGGTTGTTCGCTATGTTCCCACACAGTTCCAGCTTGCAGACATTTTTACCAAAAGTTTATCTCCGCAACGCTTCATTTTTCTCAGAGACAATCTGCGCATTGTGTCCCCTGCACAGCTTGAGGGGGTGTAATAGAGTAATTAATATTCATTAATTAGGTTTCCATATTTCTTATGTTTCCTAATGTACTCAGAACTCTATTCATTATATATTTGACATCTAGGGCTCCCAATTGGGTAAGCCATTCCATTATTCTCACATGGTATCAAGAGCCCTAGATGTCAAATATATAATGAATAGAGTTCTGAGTACATTAGGAAACATAAGAAATATGGAAACCTAATTAATGAATATTAATTACTCTATTACTATATTGTTCAAGTTATTTTAGGAGAATGTGTTATTTTTTAATATGTGGCATGTTGAACTGCTTAAATATACTAATAATAATTATTGTTCAATATTGAATATGAAATCAATAGATTATTAATTGTATTTTGTAATATTTTAATATTGGATTATTATCTCGCTAGTAACATCGATTTAGTATATTTCGTTAGTCTGATAATTTTTGTATTGGGAAACATGTATGGTAATTTACCGATACCGTACTGTTGATTTTAAGTCCCGAATGAGGCGAATGACCCGAAGGTCCAACACCAACCTTGGATCTAGGGTTTGAATGCCACAGTAAAGTGTATAAAGAAATATAAAAACTGATTGATTCACTCAAGTAGCCTTGCTTGTATTAACGCAATAATAACAATTACACG